GCCCGGATGCGCTGACCTTCTCTCTGAATGGAGCTCTGGGTGAACCTGCTCCCGCCTTGCTTGGGGGTGGCTGCGGGCAGAGCAGCGCTGCCAGCAGAGGCATGCAGGGGCCTGGCCCTGGCCTTGGGAGACCTGGGCCGGCCACACTGTGTTGCTGCATCTTTAGCAGGTCTCAGCCTCCCCCGTTAGCCCAGGCATTCACTGCGGCCCCACCTCTTCACACCCGGCTAGCCCGTGGGCTCCGCAGCCTGAGCTCTCACCTTCCCATGGGGAAGGGGCTTCTCTGGGCAGGCCCGGGACCCCATCCTCTGCTGGCAGCTGCCCTGCCTGGGGACCCAGCTCGGGTCACCCCACCCCTGCCCAAGGCACTTGGCTGTGGTGACAGGGAGAAGGGAGTGGGGAGACCCTGGCGGGCGAGGTGGTCAGCGAGGCTGGGCTGGCCCGGTCCCTGCACACACACACGCGTGTACACACAAACACACACTGAAGTGTTAGTCTGGCCATTTACGGTGAAACTTGAGGCACCGCTGAAGAGGAAGACGCCGTGAAACACTGGGAGTCCCTCAGCATCCTTCCCTCACCTACATGCACAGTGGCCTTATCCATGGATGTCCCTGGGCAGCAGTTAACACCCCAAGACCCCAGAGCTCGATGGTGGATGGCCAGCTGGCAGAGCCCAGCAGGTAGGCACCCTGGCCTGGCTGTCTGAGCCAGGGTGGAGATGGCTGCTTTTTAAGCATTCCCCCGCCCAGCCAATCAGCCCAAAGCGGCCGATGGAGCGCAGGTTCCCGTCGCATGCCTCACCGCCATTTTTCTTTTTAAAATGGACTTCTTTATTTGGAAGTTAGAGTTGCAGTGAGGGCAGGATGAGCTGTCCACTGGGTCACTCCCCACAGGGCCACCACAGACAGGGCAGGGTCCACCTCACGCCAGCGTCTGGGAGCTCTCGCGGGTCTCCCACGTGGAAGGCAAAGTCCTGGCTGAGGGGACTCCTGTCCACAGATGCAGGCGGCTGGCCACTTCCATCAGTCACCTGGCAGGCAGCTGCAGGCGCGTGGTCCCTGGGGACCCCTTACCTTCTCCCAGGCTACGCTCTTCACGCAGTCAGCCTCAGGAGAGCAGGACCCTGGAAATGCCGGAGCCCCAGATCCCAGGTCAGTTCCTTGTGGCCTGGGCAGGAAATTTGTGCCTGGGCTGCAGGGCTGTCATTGGCCACCAGGGGGCAGTGGTGCCCCAGGCCCGCTGGGGCCAGTGAGGGGCTGGCAGGGTCAGGCAGCTACCTGTGCCCAGCAGGGTGTGTCCACCCAGGGACGGACACCCCTACGTGTAGCAGCTGGGCCAGATGGGCCCCAGGCCAGGGCCTTGCTGGTCTTGGGGCCACTGAGAACAGGAGGCCAGGGCGGCAAGCAGGACCGGGGCCATCCATGGGGTCCATGTCTCTCTGGTGGACACTGACAAGGCACACATCAGGACAACAGCCAGTGTAGAAGGGACGTGGGTGTGGCCAGGAGGGGCGGGGATGCAGGGGTGCAGAGGCGGAGGGCCGAGTGGACTGCCCCTGGGCTGGGTCTGTCCTGCGGCTGCTGCTCCAGACTTGTATAGCTGCCTCCGGCTGTGGAGTGACCGAGCTGTGGGGCTGTGGGTCCTGCCACGGGGACCTGTCCATGAGCAGCCCCACAGCCCAGCCTGCTTCCCTGCGTTGGGCCAGGGTGAAGATGAGGAGGAGGAAGAGGCGGAAGACGAGCCTTGTCCACTCTGGCTGGGGAAACCGAATCCATTTGTCAAGTTCTGGTTTAGGGAGCTGGACCCTGCGTCCAGTCCAGCTGCGGGGTGGGACGGTCGCACAACCTGGGTGCCAGGAGAGGCTGCTCTGTGACCACAGGAGGCCCTGGGGTGGACATGGTGGCAGCTCTGGGCAGTCTGTGCCACAGGGCCATCTCTGACTGTCTCCTCAGCCTTCCCGTGGGAGCCACAACAGGAAGGGCAGTAACTTCCCCTAGACCCACGAGGACCCACGAGGACCCAGCTGGGAACAGCCTGGCCTGCTCTGTGTCCCCACCCTGGGCTCCCCATCTCAGGGTGGAGCATCAGCTGCACTTGGCACACTCGGCCCAACCTCACACAGTGCCTAGCGGCCTGTACGCCTGAGGCCCCTTCAGGGCACATGCTGGAGGGCTCCCCAAAGAGCACACCTAGGCAGGCGCTGGGTGAGGTCTCTGCGTGGCCCTTCCCGTCCCCACAGGCCACAGAAGGCTCAGACATGAGCCGTGGAACCCCTCTCCCCGCCGGTGCTGGGAGCCCAGCCGGCCTGGCCTTTTCCCAGGGGCTGAGCTGTCTGTACTGGCCATGCTGGCCCAGCTGCCCGACACAAGCCCTCCACCCCCGTGTCCACCTGGCAGGAGGCCTGAGGAGGGGTGAGGAGCCCCAGGCAGTGGGAATGCCAGCATGGAGGGAGGGCGGGGAGGCCCCATCCAGGGCCCAGTCAGGGGACACAGGGCCAGCTGGCCTCCAAGACATCACCACTTGTGCGACATCCACCGTGACGCTGTGTAAGCCATGGCACAAAGTGCCCCGTGTGCCCAGCAACCAGGGCCTCCAGGAACTTGTAGATAAGAAGGTTCCGGAACATGAAACCCCACCCAGCCTTCCTGGGAGCAGCCCATCCGCCAACAGGTGTGTGCAGCAGGCCTAGGAGCCTGGCCACATGCAGAAGGGACAATGGCCCTCCTGCGGCTCCTTGCCCAGAGTCAGCACTGGAAGGACCAGGAGGGGACAGGGAGGAGGGTAAACTGAGCCATGGGCATGGCCCTCCCCCAAGGGCAGGCCTGCTCCCCTGTCTGGGGAGGTATGGGGACCCGTGGCTGTGGCCGTCCAGGAGGTCCCTGTGTGCCGGGAGGTCAGCCCTCCTCCCCCAGAGGTGACTCCAGTGGCCGGCAGAGGCCCTCGGGTGCAGGGGGACATGGCCGGCGGCCCAGGCTCACATACACGCACAGCATCTCCTTTGGGGCTAGCGTGCCTGGGAAGCAGTGATGATGGTCCCGCTGCGTGAGTGGCAGCACCACGTGGGAGACCCGGATGGAGCTTCTGGCTCCTGGCCTGGCCCAGCCCTGGGTGTTGTGGTCCCTGGGGAGAGAAGCGGCAGGTGGAGGAGCTTTGTCTCTGGGTGTGCTTCTTCCTTACTAAGGTTACATGCATGCAACGTGTTTGTGCCTGCGTGTGCACATGCGAAGCGTGTACCTGTGCTTACACTGCAATGTGTGTGTGTGCCTGTGTTGCATCCGTGTGTGCGCCTGTGCGTGTCCATCAACGTGTCTGCCTTGCCTGTGTGTGCACATCTGTGCATGACAGAGGTGACCCGAAGCGTTCCTCGGAAAGGGATGTGACAGATAACCATGAAGCCTGCAGGGCTGCGTGAGTGACATGGCAGTTCAAGCGGCTGATGGCGCTGTCAGCGTGCTGTGCCCGAGGGCTAACAGGCTACTCAAGTTCTATTTTTTTGTTTGAAGATTTATTTATGTTTTTGGAAAGGCAGATTTACAGAGAAAGATCTGCCATCCACTGGTTCACTTGCAAAATGGCAGTAATGGTTGGAGCTGTGCCAATCCAAAGCCAGGAGACTCTTTCTCATGGGTGCAGGGTCCCAAGACTTTGGGCCATCCTCCACTGCCTTCCCAGGCCACAAGCAGGGAGCTGGATTTGAATCGGGGCAGCCGGGAATAGAACCAGTGCCCATATGGGATCCTAGCGCATTCAAGGCAAGTACTTTAAGCACTATGCTATCGCACCGGGCCCGTATGATTGCTTTTAAGACCCCCCGAGGTGTCCCTGGAGACCCACACCCTGAGGTGTCCCTGTGACCACGCACCCTGAGGTGTCCCTGTGACCCCGTCGCCTGAGGTATCCCTGTGACCCCGCCCCCCGAGGTGTCCCTGAGACCCACAACCTGAGGTGTCCCTGTGACCATGCCCCTGAGGTGTCCCTGTGACCCCACCCTATGAGTTCCCCGTCGTGAACCCCATCCTCCCATCAGTGATCTGGGCTCAGGCAGGTGCCCGGTCCTGAGGATGAAGAAGGCACCTTCCTCCTAACCAGGAGCTTCCTGCAGTGCCTGCTGCTCCCTCCCCAGCACCAGGACCGGCCCTGCCCTGCTGGACCCACAGCCCCGGGTCCACACCAGCTTTCCCTCGAGTCTGTGCGTCTCCCCATGCTTCCCCCTCACTTCACCACAAGTTGGCCGATTGTGCCTGCTTCAATCTGACCAAACTTCCCTGTGCTCCCACTGGAATCCTTGTCCTCTCCTGCCTAAATCCTGCTGGTGGGCGGTTCTCATCTCGGCACGTGGTAGAGCGAGCCAGTGAGTGGGAGTTTGTTGGGATGCAAAAGACCCATGCACACTTTCCACTGATGTCAGTTTCCATGACCTTTGTGGGACCCTGGTTTGTGCTCACACCGGGCACCTGTGGCGGTCCTCTCTGCACCTGCCCCGTAAGGGTGCTTGCTGCCTGCACAGCTGGCATAGCGGGGGAACCCTGGTTCACGGCCCGTGTACCCGTGGGCTTTCCATGGGCTGTGAAGGTCCAGGTTGTGTCTCAGGGTGAGTGTCCTGCCCAGGACCCAAAACTTGCTGAGCCAACCTGCACCCTCTGTGGCATCAAGCACGTTCCATGCCCAGGTGCCCAGCAGTGTGGGCTTGGTACCTGCTGGTGCTGTCATGACCTGGGGCTCAGGCCGAGTTTGAGCTCCGCCCCTGGACTGGAGCCCACTCAGATGACCTTTGCTGACTCAAGTGCTGGGCTGAAGAACGTCCAAGAATAACGACTTCTCCCCGCTCTGGCGCAGAGCTGGCCACGGTCATGGCCAGGAAGGGACTGGCCAACCTCTCGGCCAAGTTCCGGGGGACCCTGTGCTCAGCTATAAAAGGGCGGTGGGGAGAGGAGCTGGCCCAGCCTCTCTCAGACCTGGAGAGTGACCTGTCGGAGCTGTGAGAGCAGACCCCCGAGATGCAGCCCCTGCTTCTGCTCCTTTGCCTTGGCCTCATTGCTGCCCTGCGGGCCCAGGACCCCCTGGCCTTGGACGAGGGCGATCAGGATGTGAGGCTTGGGAGGCAGTGGGGAGGCAGGGGGGACTCCGCGGAGACCCTCACTGTTGGGGCCTGTGCCTCTGAAAGGCAGCGGGAGTTGGGGACCCCGGTGTACAGGGTGCTGTGAGAGAGGCACGTGGCTGGCAGTGAGGGGCCCTGAAGCAGTGCGGGCACCTGCAGGGCTGGCAGCCATCATTTGGCTCAGACTGGTGAAGTCACTGGGAATATTCCGGGTGGAATGTGGGGTACAGAGGGCTCCCTGTGTCCCAGCCTTGGTGCGCGACAGAGTCTGGGGGCTACAGACTCAGACAGGGAAGCCCTGGAGACGTTGCTCAGGCTAATGGAGACGCCCCTTCCCCAGTTGTCAGGGACCTGGTATGTGAAGGCCGTGACCACGAACATGGACAAGCCAGAGAGGAAGCCCGATTCTGTGGGCCCCATAACCATCGTGACGCAGGATGGGGGCAACCTGGAGGTCAGCCTCAGTTTCCTGTGAGTGTCTGAGGCCTGCCGTGGGAGGGCAGGAGTGGAGGTGGGGCATGGCAGAGTGACCACCGGGATGCCCTCCAGCTGAGCCCCTGCAGCTCTGAGGAAGAACTGACCCCGAGGTGCCTGGGCTGTGTGCGTCCCTGAGGATGGCAGATCCGGCTCTGACCACCTGGCTTCCAGGGGCACCTGCAGGGGCCTGCCTGGGACTCATAACCTCCAAGTCCTGTGTGGTAGCCATTCCGGGCAGGAGAGGCCCAAGCAGGCCCAGCACTGCCCACACGCTCCTGTTCCCAGGATCAAGGGCCAGTGCCACACACTCGATGCTGTCCTGGAGAAAACGGAGGAGCCGGGCAGGTACACGGCCTGTGAGTACTGAGCCAGCGGGCAGGCTGTCGGCCAGAGCACCACATCCCTGACTTCCTCTCTGCCCACCTCTCTGCCCTCCCTGCCCTCCCTCCTGTCTCCTCTCTGAGAGTGCCCAGTTTCTCACACCCAGGAGCAGGGGCGGTCCCGTGCTGCCTAGAGGGGGCTAACTGCCCAGGGTTCCCTTGGAGGGTCCCTAGCTTGGTCCTGGGAGCTGGGGGAGGGGCGCTGTGAACCCCACCCCTGCCTCTCGCCCTGGAAACGTCTGAGCCCCCAGGATGTGGCTGGGCTGCCGCTGCTGCACGGGTTCTTGGAGTATGTGCAAGACTCTATCAGCCTCTTGGTAACTGGACTCCTGCCAGCAGGTGGCTGAGGGGTCTGCCAGGCCAGGCACTGGGCCCCATGTCTGCTCCTTTGTAAGGAAGCGTGGCCTCGGGTGGACCCGATTCTGTGCTTGCAGTTGGGGGCAGGAGTGTGGCACAAGTGACCCCGCTGAAGGAGAAGGACCACTTTGTCATGGTGTGTGAGGGTGTGATGCACGGGAAGGCTTTCCGCCATTTCAAGCTCCTGGGTGAGTGTGACCTGCCCATGGCCCTGATTCCCCGTGCCCTCCTGCTCGTCCCTGAGCCCTCCTGGCCCACAAGAAGCTGCTGGGATGCAAAGCACCTCTGGCCTCCAGCACAGGCCCTGATCTATCTCTGACCCCACATGCGAAGCCCGGGGCTTTCTGGGGACAGCCCAGGTTCTACTCAGCAAGGCCCTTGGGGGTCCCCCAGGTTGGGGTGCTGAACGCGGCAGCACTTCCCGAGTCAAGTGTGAGAGCACAGCAGGGTGGGTCAGCAAGTGCCCAGTGCCCAGGGCAGCCTGGCTTCCTCAGGGCTGCAGGGCCCTGTGCTGTCCTCCCCTCCCCTGCCTGGGGCGGCTAATGTGCGTTGTGGGGTCACCCCATCATGGTCCTCCAGTCCTGCCTCAGATGAGCTCAGGAGTGGGATGCAACCCTGGTGGCCCTGTCGGCCCTGCTGAAGGTCCCCTCCCAGTTGAGGGCCTCCTGGTATCCCAGGCTGGGTGCTGACCCCTTGGTGCCCAGTGCTGTGCCACCTCACCCTGCTGTCTTGTCCTGGCTGCACCTGCAGGCAGAGAGCCTGAAACCAACCCGGCAGCCTTGGAGGAGTTTCAGAAGGTGGCAAGAGCCAAGGGCTTCACCACGGAGGACATCGTCATCCCCCAACTGGGAGGTAGGAGGGATGCACCTGCCTGCTCTCCCGGCCCAGGGACGCACAAGTCTCCTTTTGTCTTTGTCCTTCTGGGGCTCAGGGAAGTGTCAGAGACAGGGCAGGTTTGGGGTCCTGGCTCACTCCCAGTGTGCTCCAAGGCACCATATTCCCTCTTTCTGCAGAATCCTGCTCTCCAGAGACTGACTAGGGTAAGCCCCATGGCCTTCTGGGAAAATGTGGGTCTCAGGTTTGGTGGGGGTGTGGGTGTTCCGGCTCTGTCCCCAGCCTGCAGCCTGGGCAGGAGGTTGATCTGGCCAGGCAGCCTGGGTTCTGTCCTGAGCCCTCCAGACCCTCTGGCGATGTTTCTGATCCTGCTGTGGAGTCACCCTGGGGTGCTGGGTGCTCTCTCCTTGTTCCTGACTAGAGCAGACACTGTGGGGACAGAAGCACAGGTGTGGGCAGCAGCACCCCCACCCCAACAGCCCAGTGACTCTTCTGGGTCCTGGGAGAAGCTAAGAAATGGATAGGAGCATCCTGAAGGTGCAGCCCCCAGGCCCTCCCTGCTGAAATTGGGGTGTCTCCCTGCGTCCTGGTGAATCTCTGTGGGTGTGCAAGCCAACAGATTCACTAAGGAGGACTCTGCCCCACCAGGCCGCAGCAGGCCAGCACCAGCACCAGCCTCCTTGGATGGCCGGGGACAGCCCAGTCCTCGCCCAGCAGAGGCCTGGTGTGTGGGAAAGCCCTGGGTCAGCTTGATCGCACCCACAGTGTGGACACCCGCCTGCCAGAGCTGAGAGAATAAAGCTTTGAAACCAGCAATGCTGTGGTCATGTTTGCTCATCTTGTCCCAGGCCCCGTATCTGCGCTGGCTGCTGGTCCCGGCCTTGTGTCAGCACGTGTTAGCTTGGCCCCTCACCGACATACTGCCCGCGCTCTCGGCTCTGTCCTGGCGTGTTGGGTAGGGGACGTTTCTGGGGTCAGTCACCTCCTCCCCTTGGCTCTCCAGCTTTTGCTCCCCTCCCATGTAGTGCTCGCGTGGGGTTCAGGCCGCTGCCTGCGCCCTCACTGAGCCAGGCCCGTCAGTCACGTCCTGTCCCCCTGCCCTGGCCCTCAGCAAGGGTATAACTGCCTCTTTCCTGGGTTTCCTGATGGCTCCGTGGGTCCCTGTCCCCCATGGCCTGCCCCCTGCTCACTGGGGCTTCTGTGGTGCTGGCTTCTTCTGGCTCGCCAAAGTCAGCCCTCGGCAACCCCAGCACAGCCCAGCCAAGCTAAGCCGGCAGGGTTCAGCCCACTCCACACCGTCCCTGACTGGCCATTGGCCGTGACTGCCTCACAGCCCCACCCTCCTGGGGGCCATAGCTTCCTCCCCAGAGGCCACTGAGCCTGTGGCCAGTCCTCTTAGCCTGTGGCCAGTCCTCTTCTGCTGTCCACTCCCACAGCACCACGTGGTCCTGTCCCGTGGCTCCTGGAGTGCTCCCAGGGAAAGAATAAAGCTGCCGCCTGCCCGTGCCGTGTGGGGCTCCTGCTTGCTGACCATCAGAGCCTGGGGGCCTCAGGTGTCGTGTCTGGACAGTCTGTCACCTGGTATTTTGGGTACCTGTGTGCCATGTACAGCCGGCTGCCATAGGTGTCCCCAGGCTTGGGCCTAGCTTCCCCTAGCCTTGTGCACTGAGCACCCCCAGCCAACCACCCCAACATTGCGGATCCCTGGGTGATGTGCAGAGCAGAACCCGGTCCTCACTGTGGGCACAGCCGCCCCACACCTGCACCTCTGCCTGTGGTGTACATGGCAAGGAGATGTGGGGGACCCAGTGGGGGCTGAGTGGGGGGCTGTGCCAGGAAGGCCAGGTGCCATAGGCTTCACCCTCCGAGGAGCATAGCTCCCAGGGCACAGGGCCCTGCTCCCCCACCACCTTGCCCTAAGCACCATGCACTGAGCCGTACCCACACCCAGGGCTTCAGGCGTGGCTCCACAGGCCCCACACTTAGTTCTGATGGCAGTTCTCCCCATACTCCAAGGAGTCACCCCGAGGGTGCCCTGGCCGCTTCCTGGCAGAACCCCGGGGTTGGGGGTTCATGTCCTCCCCTTTCCATGTGTGGGGGTGTCACACAGCACGCAGCTGTGTGCCTCGCATGCTGACTGACCCCTATGCATTGTCATGTCTGACACCTCCATGCTCCCTGTGACCCCCATACCACCCACGGCACCAGAGTCAAGCCTCATCTAGGTTCCTTGGTGTGCAGGGGAACCGCACCATGACACGTCCGCCTTCCCAGTGCCCAGGGTAGGGGTGGGTGCTGTGGGCAGACATTGTGTGCCCTGCCAGCCAGGGCAGAGCAGAGCGCCATCTCAGGGGACCGCCCATGGCTGGGCCAGGGAGCGCAGTGCCCTGACAACACAAGGACAGGGAGGGCAGTGGATGGCCGTGGGCCCGGGCTCGTTCCACAGTGGGCTCTGACACACTTACTCAACAGGAGGTAGAGATTTTTTAATTGATAGAAAATCCATGTAAATCAATCCCTGTGAAAGTCTTCAATTCCATGTTCTCTGATCGGTTTTCATTCTAGAAACCACCACCAGCTTGTTCTGGAACATTCTCAGGGCCACCTTAACATCACTCACTGTTTATCCCGCCCTGCTTGTCTGCTCAGCTGTGTCCTGTCTGGGTGGGTGGACAACATGGTGGACAAGTGGGCACAGGGTGGGGGTGTGTCCCAGTCCTGGGGTCTGGGATGGTCCTGGCTGCTGGGCGGGGTGGGCGTGTGGGTCTGGGATGATCCTGGCTGCTGGGCGGGAGTGGAGGGGTCCCTGTCCTGGGGTATGGGATGGTCCTGGCTGCTCGGCAGGGGGTGGGTATGTGTCCCAGTCCTGGGGTCTGGCATGCTGTTGGCTGCTGGGCGGGTCACACCCTGGAGGATGCGGAGAGCAGCTGTCTCCTGTCTGCCATATTCTCTGCACACGGCCGTGCTCAGGTCAGGGGTGGGCGTGGACGACAAAGTGTCCTCCAGTGCCTAGGGCAGTGCCCGGGTGGTGCGTGTCTGGGTGGGAGCTCTGGGCCTTCCTGCAGCCCAGCAGGGGATCAGCCCTCATACTCCCTGCAGCTCCATGTCTCCATGAGGCACCTCAGTGTCTCGTCCCCAAACCCAGCCTTGCCTCCCAGCAGCCAAGGGGTGTGCACTGCAGCTCAGTTGGCTGTTCCTGCCCGAACGGAATGGTGGGCATCGTTCTCTCCCTGGGCTCACCGTCCTGGGCATCTTTCTCTCCCTGGGCTCACTGTCCTCATGCGGTGCCCATTTTCCTTGCCCTGGGTGCTGTGCTGCTCTGTGTGGTGCATCTGGTGCCGCGGGCCTTCCTAACCAGGGTCTGCAGCTGATTCCTCACGCTCCGTCCCTCATCCTGTCACTTCCTGATGTTGCCTGCACTTGTGCCAAGGCAGCTGGTTTGACAAAGTCTACTGTGTCTGTGTTTCTAGGCCTGGTGAGGATTCAGTGCCCTCGGGCCACTGAGTGTGTCACAGGTGCCCACCCACCAGCACACCCATTGGGGTTCCTTGACCTTGTGCGGAAGGCTGTGGGATGAGGCCCCACCCTGTCTGTCACAGGTGGGCTTGTTAGCAAGGGTCGCCCTCGGGGATTCTGTGGCTTCTGCCTCGTTGTGGCATTTGTATCTCTCCTGCGTGCTGTCCCTCCTGCCTTCTGAGTTCTGCTGATGGTGCTGTGTTGGCAAGCTGGGCCCTTCACAGGAGTCTTGGTGTGAGCTGCTCAGTGCTGTGGCTGGCTGGCAGGGCTGCTGCACACCTGACTGGCACGGCAGCTGGGTGGATGCCTGGGCAGTGCAGTCAGGTTGGGCTGCCCGGTAACACCATCACCTCAGCTTGTCTTGGCTCACTCTGGCCCTGCTCACATCAGGTCTCTCACACCTGCCTGTGTCTCTGAGAGTGACCTGACGCCCCAACATGGGCCACAGCCAGCATCCTCATCCATCCCCTCGGGCCTGCCTGGGCCTGATGTCCCCTGGGTCATTGGCCTGCCCATTTCCTTCTCCACCTGCACAATAACCTGGGTGAGCCCGGCTCCGACCCTCCCTCAGAGCACAAACGCCTCCTTGTCCTCACCCATCTGGCCAGCTCGGTCCACTTTGCTTTTTCCCAAAGCGCTCAACTCCTGGGATGTAATCGGTAATTATAGGCCTTGATGTCCAACCAGGATGTGAGGCATGGGACGCACAGTGCAGAAGGCATTCATGGGAGGGTGACGTTCATGGCAGAGGCTGTGGCAGGTGGGCAGGTTCCATGAGCCTTAGACTCCCCTGGGGTGTCTGTGTGGCTGCCGTGGCCTGAGCAGAGCACAGCAGTGTCTGGCACAGGACCCAGGGCTGCCTGTTCAGTGCTCGCCTGTCTTCTTGGGCAAGGCATTCCTTTTTGCCTGTTGTCCACTTTCCACATTTTTTTTTTAAATTTAGAGGTTTCTTTATTACCCTGAACATTCTGGGATCCCATTTGGCACCGGTCCTGTCCTGGCAGCTCCACTTCCCACGCGGCTCCCTACTGTGGTCTGGGAAAGTGGTAGTTGATGGCTCAAAATCATGGGACCCTGAACTGGGTCCCAGAAGAAGCTCCTGGCTCTTCTGACTGGCTCAGCTCCATTTTGTGTCCATTGCGGACTGAACCAGTAGACAGTGGATCTTTCTCTGCCTCTCCTTCTCTCTGTAAATCTGCTGGCTCACTCCTCAAGCAGCCTGGCCCCAGCCAGGAGCAGGTGATGGTGCAGGTGAAGGAGATGGGGGTCCTGGGTGCACAGAGCTAGGTGTGTGTGTGGGGTGTCCCCTCGGTCCAGGCTTGTTGAGCTCGCATTCACTCTGCGAGCCACAGAACTGGGAATTCAAATCTGTGATGGATACAGGCAGGAGAGCCGACAGGACAGCCAGGGACGAGTAGGGCTCTGGGTCAGCCCCATGAGTCTGGGAGGGCTGAGTGGGCTCCAGAGGTTACGCCCCCGTGCAGGCCTGTGGAGGTGAACTT